TTGGTTTAAGGTAGGTTAAAGTTTTGGTTTAGGGTAGGTCAAAGCTTTAGTTTAGGGTAGGTTAAAGTTTTGGTTTAGGGTATGTTAAAGCTTTGGTTTAGGGTAGGTTAGAGTTTTGGTTTAGGGTATGTTAAAGCTTTGGTTTAGGGTAGGTTAAAGTTTTGGTTTAGGGTAGGTCAAAGTTTGAGTTTAGGGTAGGTTAAATGTTTGGTTTAGGGTAGGTTAGTTTTGGTTTAGGGTAGGTTAAATTTTTGGTTTAGGGTATGTTAAAGCTTTAAAAGCTTTGGTTAAGGGTAGGTTACATTTTTAATTTACGTTAGATAATAGTTTTGGTTTAAGGTAGTTTGTGATCACATCAACTTGAATCTTGTACACATGTTCATTATGAGGTGAACTTTTTATAATAAATTAAATGCCAAATAAGGGTTTTGACCAATTATTTTAAGAATAGGGAAATAAGATAATGCAACTGGGGGCATGTTGTCCTATGGGCACATATTCTTCTTCTTTCAATTTTGAAATGGCATTTTTATGCCCCACCTACGATAGAAGAGGGCATTATGTTTTTCAGTCTGTGTGTCCGTTCGTCCGTCTGTCCCGCTTCAGGTTAAAGTTTTTGGTCAAGGTAGTTTTTTGATGAAGTTGAAGTCCAATCAACTTGAAACTTAGTACACATGTTCCCTATGATATGATCTGTCTAATTGTAATGCCAAATTAGAGTTTACCCCAATTTCACGGTCCAATGAACATAGAAAATGATATCACCAGTGGGGCACTGTGTACTATGGACACATTCTTGTTTTTTTCAATAATTCCTTCGCCCTCTTTACAAAATCTGTGATCTCTCGTAAAATAAAAAGTGATTAGATGTGTGAGAGTAAATGTAAAATGATAAAAGATACCAGTAATTAAAAAATATGAGGTAAATTTATCATATTTTCCTAGAGGCACCTCAGAAATGTGATAATCAAGTAAATTGTTCAGTGCATATTTCACATCAAGCATTACATAAGTTAAATTGTTTTTGAATGTCTGTTTCAGTATGAAGAAAGATATTCATATCTTTGAAATATAGCTTTTGTTTTAACTATCACTCCTTTCTTCGTGTTCTTTAGTGCTAAAATAATCAAATGTATGTAATTACCCAGTGTTATGAAAGTAAACGTTGTAAGTTAGGTAAAAAGGAATACTATTTTCATCTATTTACTTATTAACCTTAGTCATTTAATTGATTAAACAATAATGCATTTGATTTTTTTTTACCTCAGAACAAAAGAACATATTAGTGAGATATCATGTCATAGATAATTTCAATGCTACAGAGAAAACCCCAAAATAGTCAGTAGGATCTGGGAAATTTAGTCCTACTAAAGTATATGTTAGGAAATTTCCAAAATAAATGAAAATGGATGTACACATTGACTAAGTGTTTCTCGTTTTTAGCTCACCTGGCCCGAAGGGCCAAGTGAGCTTTTCTCATCACTTGGCGTCCGTCGTCCGTCGTTGTCCGTTGTCGGCGTTAACTTTTTACATTTTGAACTTCTTCTAGAGAACCACTGAATGGAATGAAACCAAACATGGCATGAATGTTCCTTATGAGGTGCTGACCAACTGTTGTTACTTTGTAGCCGATCCATCATCCAAGATGGCCGCCAGCGGGGGACTTAGTTTAACATAGGACCCTATGGGAAATGCATACAAATGACTTGTTTTAGAGAACCACTGAATGGAATGAAACCAAACATGGCATGAATGTTCCTTATGAGGTGCTTACCAAGTGTTGTTACTTTGTAGCCGATCCATCATCCAAGATGGCCGCCAGCGGGGGACTTAGTTTAACATAGGACCCTATGGGAAATGCATACAAATGACTTCTTTTAGAGAACCACTGAATGGAATAAAACCAAACATGGCATGAATGTTCCTTATGAGGTGCTGACCATGTGTTGTTACTTTGTAGCCAATCCATCATCCAAGATGGCCGCCATCGGGGAACTTAGTTTAACATAGGACCCTATGGGAAATACATACAAATGTCTTCTTTTAGAGAACCACTGAATGGAATGAAACCAAACATGGCATGAATGTTCCTTATGAGGTGCTGACCAAGTGTTGTTACTTTGTAGCCGATCCATCATCCAAGATGGCCGCCAGCGGGGGACTTAGTTTAACATAGGACCCTATGGGAAATACATAAAAATGTCTTCTTTTAGAGAACCACTGAATGGAATGGAACCAAACATGGCATGAATGTTCCTTATGAGATGCTGACCAAGTGTTGTTACTTTGCAGTAGGTCCATCATCCAAGATGGCCGTCAGCGGGGGACTTAGTTTAACATAGGACCCTATGGAAAATACATACAAATGTCTTCTTTTAGAGAACCACTGAATGGAATGAAACCAAACATGGCATGAATGTTCCTTATGAGGTTCTGACCAAGTGTTGTTACTTTGTAGCCGATCCATCATCCAAGATGGCCGCCAGCGGGGGACTTAGTTTAACATAGGACCCTATGGGAAATACATACAAATGTCTTCTTTTAGAGAACCACTGAATGGAATGGAACCAAACATGGCATGAATGTTCCTTATGAGGTGCTGACCAAGTGTTGTTACTTTGCAGTCGGTCCATCATCCAAGATGGCCGACAGCAGGGGACTTAGTTTAACAAAGGACCTAAGGGAAATACATACAAATGTCTTCTTTTAGAGAACCACTGAATGGAATGAAACCAAACATGGCATGAATCTTCCTTATGAGATGCTGACCAAGTGTTGTTACTTTGTAGCCGATCCATCGTCCAAGATGGCCGCCAGCGGGGGACTTAGTTTTACATAGGACCCTTTGGGAAATACATGAAAATGTCTTCTTTTAGAGAACCAATAAATGGAATGGAACCAAACATGGCATGAATGTTCCTTATGAGATGTTGACCAAGTGTGTTACTTTGCAGCCGATCCATCATCCAAGATGGCCGACAGCGGGGGACTTAGTTTAACATAGGACCCTATGGGAAATACATACAATTGTCTTCTTTTAGAGAACCACTGAATGGAATGAAACCAAACATGGCATGAATGTTCCTTATGAAGTGCTGACCAAGTGTTGCTACTTTGTTGCCGATTTACTGTTCAAGATGGCCACCAGGATATTTTATTAAATAACGGGACCAATATTAATCAAAATTTGGCCTCAATCATTATTTGGGTATCTGTTATGATTTTTATCTATCTTTACATGATTTCTAAAACCAAAGTAGTCAGGTGAGCGACACAGGCTCTTGAGAGCCTCTAGTTTATATAGATTAGACTGTTGGTTTTCCTGTTTGAATTGTTTTACACTAGTCATTTTGGGGCCCTTTACTGCTTGCTGTTGGGTGTGAGCCAAGGCTCCTTGTTGAAGGCCGTGCTTTGACCTATAATTGTTTATTTTTACACATTGTGACTTGGATGGAGAGTTGTCTCATTGGCACTGACATACCACATCTTCTTATTTCTAAGAATCCTATATATGAAATAGTTATATAATGTATCAACAATAGAAAAGGATCTTGCACATGAAAGTTGAAAGAATTATATTCAGGCAGCTCGCATTCTGAAACACAATAAAACAAACCACAAAGAATTATATTCAGGCAGCTCGCATTCTGAAACACAATAAAACAAACCACAAAGAATTATGCATGAAAAACCTTAATTTTTAATTGAATATCTTTAATTTGAAAAGTAGAAACATTTCATGTATCAAGTATAGTTTTGCTTTTGTTACACCTTTATCTGACAACACATAGTATTGATAGCAATATAATTTGGCAGTAGATAATTAAGATTAATGAATTGGTTATTATCAACCAGCTGTGAGAGTCGGTTATTATCTACCAGCTGTGAGAGTGGAGGGTTTACTCATTAATACAAATTCCACTGAAGATTTGTACAATTTCTTTAATTTCATTCACTGATTGAAGCAATCAACAATCCCTTGTGTTGTGGAAATATTCTGGCAGTTAGACAAAATACATCATTTCTTAGGTAAATAATGACTTTTGTATAGAGCAGGTAAAAATAATTACTGAGAAATATCACTAAAAGTGTAAAAAACATCTTTGGTAGGTGATGGGGAAATTACGAGAGATGGGGATAGGGTAGAGTCTATGCCATCAGAAATAAGGAACACTGCTGGGGATAAATATATTTATGCCTTCAGAATTTTAAAACTTTCAATACAGTTGCAAGGAGAATCTTTTCCTCTTGGACTCAATAAAATCTTCCTTACAAAATCATCAGCCTTTAAATAATATCATTTTTTACATAAAGGAGAAATCAAATCTTCCTTTCAAATAACTATAACGGTACCAATTTTTACTGCACCAGATGGACATTTTGACAACGTTATGTTTCTTCAGTGATGCTCAAGGCTAATATTTTGAAAGTCTGAAACCTAATATTAATCATCATCTAGTTAAAAAATACCATTTCTCACTTCAAGAAGGAAACCTAAAAGTAACCAATAAAAACAGTGTAAAAGTGATGATATGTAGATGATTGATAAATCCATAGACAGTTATCCAACAAAAATAATGTATCTGTTCACACATACTCTCCACAGGTTTTCTTTATTCTTTATGCACGATGAGATGTGGATCTACTGGTATATCATTTATTTTTCTATGAGGAGAATGTGAATGGATGCGTATCTCTTCTTGTCTATCAGAGGCATCTGTCTGTACAAAGGTATAAATGGGGAGGATGGCTGAGCTTTTTGAATACTAGTAGTTTATCTACAGTGATCACTAGCATGTCTACTCTGATGTTGTTAATTTTTCCCCACACTCCTAGCATGGTATATTTGACTCTGATCATTTGACAAGGATTGCCTGTTATTCTGATGAAGGTCAGTGGTTCTCTCTTTGAATACCTTCATGATATTGCTTATAGCACTGAATGGCACATTAAAGACAAAACAAACAAACATTTAATTCCATCTACCTATTTTTTTTCAGGATTCAAGTTAATGATCAGATAATTGAAGTGGATGGTAAAAGTTTGGTGGGTGTCACACAGGCATATGCGGCATCGGTGCTGAGAAATACAACAGGGACTGTCAAGTAAGTTAATATCCCCTTTATCATATAGCGGTCATATTATTCAAATCATAAGTTATTAACTTTATTTTTGGACAATTTTAATTTCCAGAAAAGGAAATGGTGTATATATAAAAATTAGGAGATGAGGTAACATTGCCAATGAGACAGTCAACTATCAAAGACCAAAAGATGATGATTTTAACAATTATAGTGCACTGTAAAACCTTCAACAGTGAGCAAACTAATTCCTTCTGGATACCTCTCTTTAGCCTCAACTTTACATTTTGTAATCAGACTACTGACTAGTCTTGTTTTTTTTGTAATTTTCATTTACAAGTAATTTTCAGCTGATTAATGTTGAAAAACTTATGAAAATAACTAACCAGAATAATTCAGTCGTTATATTCCGCTGATCTACGATTACTCCATTAACGCCTGAATGCATTGACAATGAAAAATCTTCAATCAATCATTCGGAATAAGCTTGGGATTTACCTATCTCAATAAAATTGAGCTGATTGCTGATTGGTCACCTCTTCTACAGGGCACCAATCAAAATCCAGGATTCGTGAAGAGTTTTTATCGTGTAAGGAATTCAGGCCCCCGCAAGTAGGAGAGATCGATTACGGGAAGGGACTGAATTTTCTGGTTAAAAAATAACATATAATTAACCAAATTTAAATTTAATAATGATAAATAAATACAAACTCAATTAAAGGTTAGTTCCCTTTGAAATGTAATTTGTTGAGATTAATTTTTCTTGTTCCCTAATTAAGGTTTATGATTGGTCGAGATAAAGATCCAAGTAAAAGTGAAGTAGCTCGCCTTATACAACAATCTCTAGAACAGGATCGACGTAGAGAAGAAATGAAAAGGCTGGAACATGACCGATTAGTCCAGCTACAGGATAGTATAACACCTAGGGATGCTGTCATGGAACGGGACCATCTGCGTCACATGTCTGAGTCTGGTAGAGAGTTGGACGATGAAGAGGAAGAGGAAGTAGAAGATGATTCGGTAAGAAAAAAATTATGAGTATGAATATATGGAGTATGTGTCAATAAAACAGGAACTCAACGACACAAATAACCTTCTGTCCAAGTTTTATGAAATATCATGAAGGTTTGACAAAGGTATCCTACGATGAAATGTATGATCGCTATGTCTCATCATTGCAACTTTCGTCAAAGGCAAGACAAAAAATTAATGTGGGTTGTACGTCAATTAGACAGCAAACAACAAGAGTAATCAAGACATCAAATGGCATTATACATAAAATTGAGAATGGAAATGGGGAATATGTCAAAGAGACAACAACCCGACCAAAGAGCAGACAAAAGCCGTCTTCAGGAATGGACGTGTCTCTACAATATGTCTTGCTCTAAATGGTAGCCTTAAGACACAAATGACCAAAAGTCATTTAGATGTCAAAATACAGTTTTTGACAATGGACAGGTGTCCTGAGTCTAAAACAGATGTCAATGTCATAAACAGGAAGTATCAAAGATCTGCCATCAACACCAAGTTCTCAAAATAACCAAAAAAAAGACATTCAGATAATACATAAGACAATACTGACAAGAAGCCTGAGGCTCACATTGGGGATTAGGAAATTGGCTAAGATTAGTTGTAAGGAAAGGCAAGGGTTAGATTGGGGGTCTGGAAATATATAAGGCTTATATGATTTTAGGAAATGTGAAGCTCATATAAAGGTGTTATCAGGCATCAGTGAAAAAGATGTTGATATTAGTTTTGAGATAAAATAGGTTTAGATTAGATATGGGGACATTTTTTGGTAAAAAAGCAGTAAATGTAGGAAAATTGGGACTATTATTCTTGAAAATTTGAACTGCTGCCACTTTCGTATTTCCAGTTTTGTATATGCTTAGTTAACAGTAATTAGTTCATATTCAGTGTTAGTTTCAGTCTGATTTTTTTTAAAGGAAGAAATTTTAAAACCATTGTATTTTTTATATTTCAGGATGAATGTTCTGGAGATTACCAATTAGAAATCACCAATCATAATGAAGAATATGATGACGAGGATGAAGAAGAAGAAATGGTTCAGCAAGAGGATGAAGTTTCCAGCACCATGGAAACTACAGAGGAAATAGCTGCAGGGGAGGCAACTCCTATGTCAATACCTTCAAGTAATGATAACAGTGTAGGATCACCAGATGAGGACAGGAAACCAGTCATAGAAGTTTTTGACCTCCCAGAGAGCAGCAGTGAGGATGTTTCACCTGATATGGAATCTCAGGCTATGTTTGTCAAATTAAAAGAGGTAATGAAAAGGGGTATTTTACACTGGTAACTTGATGGAAGAAACAATTTGAAAAACATAAATTCTAACAGAAAATTCTTTTGTGGTAGCACAATACAATTAATTAATCGACTACTCCCTTCACATACAAAGCACAATAGCCTATATTTATTACAAGCTCTTATAGCTATATATTAATGTACTTAAAAGAATAAAGGGTAATGATATTGTTTGCATACTATATAAGTAGACCAGAATTTCCTGTCACAAGTCATAATTTAACATAATTTATATAAATACAAATTAACTATTTCAATTAGTTCAATTGTATTTTGTGGAGAACTGAACTGGATTACACATATGTTCAGTACTACATTGTGCCTTTCATAATGTCTTAATAATAATAAATCTCTGAACACTTGTTTTATTGTTCATATAAACACAATAACTAACAATTTAGGTTTAATATACATGTTTCTTTTTAGGCCCAGTATAAAAATGCTGTAAATGAGGCAGAAATAGCAAAGTTAAAGGGCAAGGTATGTAAACTATACTTATATGTTAAATTACAAAGCTTAGAAATTCCTGCAACTTTGTAAAAAAGAACTTTCATTTTAGACAACTATTTGTTTAATGAAATTTAAATACAGAGAGGTTGGAAAATTTCATAAAAAAATTAAAAAGGTTTGAAATTATACACATAAAAGGCTTCATCACTTAATTTGGTTGCAAAATAAACACAGTATTCAGTGGGGGTCTCAGTGACTAAGTGATCTAAGTAGTTCGTTTTCAGTGATCACTAGCCTTTCAACTCTGAGGTCATAAGTTCAAACGGTGAGATACTTAAATTTCACGTAGAAGGTCAGCAGTTCTCTGCTTGTACTTTGGCTGCCTCCACCAAAAAATCTGGCCACCATGATAAAGCCAATGTGGCTGAAAGTGGCCTTAAATGCCTGCTCAACAAAACTTAATTTGTGAAGAAATTGTACATGCCAAATGCTAAAAGTATAAACTTAACATTAAAGAATTCTTAGTAGCATTTAATGTGATTAGGAATGCTACACTAAAAATATCAATTGTTGAATGATTTAGTATGACTAGAAATTGTACTGAGAAGAATGTTAAATGATTATTGTTTTATAGTTAATACAGTTAGAGAGTGTACAGAATGAGAAGAAGGAATATCAGAAGAAATCGGAAGACATGGCTTACAGATTACGGGAACTAGAGAAAAAAATGTTAGCCAATAGAAAGGAAATAAATCATTATCAGGTATAGATGATGTACATTGATGAAATGATTGGGTGTGTTTGATTAGTTACAAGTTATTAAAAGTTGACTTAAATGGAAATTGGGTGTGTTTGATTAGTTACAATTTATTAAAAGTTGACTAAAATGCAAAATGGATGTGTTTGATTAGTTACAAGTTATTAAAAGTTGACTAAAATGCAGAATGGGTGTGTTTGATTAGTTACATGTTATTAAAGGTTGACTAAAATGCAAAATGGGTGTGTTTGATTATTTACAAGATATTAAAAGTTGACTAAAATGCAGAATGGGTGTGTTTGATTAGTTACAAGTTGTTAAAAGTTGACTAAAATGCAAAATGGGTGTGTTTGATTAGTTACAAGTTGTTAAAAGTTGACTGAAATGCAAAATGTATTATATTACTTAGATAGATTTCTTTATTAAAGCATTCTTGGTAGGAATATGAAATTGAAGTTTTATCAAAATTGATTTTTGTACACCTCTTTTATTTTTTGCATTATTAAAATTTATTTTTGAATTTACAATATGCAAACACATGGTTTAATCAGGGAAACATTAAAAATTTATTCAAACTTCAGGATATTTTTTTTTAATTGAAAGAGGAAAAGGTAAAATGATATAAACTGCCCAAAATGTTGTAATAGCAAAAAGTCTATGTCGTATCAATTTGCTTGAGTTGAAAGCCTTATGAAATTTGGTCAATTTGACATGAAAAAAATTAGAATTAGTGTTTTAGACTTTTTTTTGTATGAGAGAATTTCACAACTTTTTATTTTTTTCTACAGGATTTATTAGAGGGATCACAAGGACAGTATATAGCATTAGAAAAGAAAATGAAGGGAGATTTTACAGCCCTAGAAAAGAAATATCACAAAGCTAAGAAACTGATCAAAGAATATCAATCCAGGTAAAACTATAATAAATACTGTAATCTTTGGAAAGGAAAGAACAGGAAGATACTTATTTCTCTAATTCTTTTTGCATTTGAACCAGTCTTGGCTAACCAGGAGAACAATTTATAAATTGTAACATTTGTAACTTTCCACCAAATCTATATCTGAATATTAAAGAGTTTTTTCCACATGCAAATTACTCTATTAAAAGATAGATTTGAAATGTTCTCACGCTTTCACCATCTTTGATAGCAATTTGAATTGAGTTAAGAAGTCAGTACCTTTCCCAAGTACTGTAGATTCAGAAACTATTTATTATTGGGATTTTTTGAAGAAGGGACAAAAATGCTAGATTTATTATTGTGATTCCAGGAAAATCTGCATACATATATATGTATCAGATATCAGAATGTACGTTCTTATTATTGTGATACTCTCCCAGTCGCATTATTCACATTAATAAAAACCTCACAATAATTGCTGAATTTACAGTATTTATACCAAAATTGTATTTCACTTTTTGTTTTTTCTACAGAGAGAAAGATTTCCTACAAGAAAGAGAATCATTACTTCAGCAACAGGCAGAAAAAGATCAGCAATATAATTCTCTAGTCAAGTCACTCAAAGATAGGGTAGGTAACTCTGTAATTACCCAAATCTTTGGATAATTTTGGTTTGAAGTATCAGAATATTATGAGATGATTAGTTGACAATTTATGGATATCTATACAAAAAGAAATATGGTATACACCAAAGAGACAGAAACCCAACAACACAAAAACTAAGAAGATCAAGACGTGGTCTTCGTCGATAAACAAGTGTATTAATGAAAGTGATTGCAAATAGAATTACTCATTAATGGATAAAATTTAATAACTTGTAATTAACTTTAGAAGTCAGACCAAAATGAAAGCAATTTTTAGAATAGTGATTTTACTTCCAATAATTTAATATATAGACACCTATTGCTGGTATCTAAGCAGAAATTCATTTGATATAATTACATTAGATGTATATTTCATTATTATACGTTAGTTTGATTGGCTAACAGCAATCTCGCGTCATTCTTCATTTCAAAATGAATTTCATGAATTGTAACATACATGATGAAGCACGTTTCCACAATAAAGTGCACAGGTAAATAAAAGAAAGAAAATGATAGTAATTGTGTTTTCATGATCATAGAGATAAAATGTAATTATAAGTTTTGAATGCTTCTTTCAGTAATTTCATAGGGTTGTAAAAGCGTTGACCGTGCGTACATTTTAGAATGAAGCGCTTCCGTGCTTCATACAAAATGTACTTCGGTCAACGCTTTTACACCCCAATGAATTTACAAAAAGAAGCATTCAATTCTTAAATAAAGAGCACTAAATAAGTTCTTGTTGTGAATATCAGTCACTTAATGTTGGTCTTTTGAATTTTATCACTGAAGACCTATCTAATAAGTTTATAAACTAAATTATTTGTGATGGTGACTGTCAATCATGACTGTTTCCATTCTCAATGTCAGTCTTATTTTAAAATAGGTGAAAATAAAAAATTTCGGTATTCCATTAATGTTTGTTGTTTTTATGATAGATCTTCCAACTGGAGAGTGAATTGGGTGAAGCACAGAAAGCAGCAGGGTTACCTGTCTTAATTCCTGATGCCTCACAAAGGGTACCAGATGTCATATCAAAGGAAACCAGTGTTAAAGTACAGTCTTCCTTAGGTGAGCTTTACTACTTTCATGTCCGATATGAAATTTGGTGAAGAAATTTAAAAATAATGGTCAAATACATAAACTTTTTATAATCAAACCAAATGTAATTTATTTTATTTTGAACAATGGCAGCGTTTCAGAGAAGGAAAAACTGCAGAATATTGTACAAGACTTTATAGAAATGCAGTATTTGCTGTGGGCATTATGTTTGCTATGTATAAAACATCTGGTGTGTGGATTAAAAGGGGGGAAACTATGTTATGTATTAAAGAAAACACACACACAAAAAATAATTTGAATTTAATATTTGTTTTTAATGTTTTAGATAAAGTATTGACACAAAGTCAGATATCTGATGCTGTTTCCATATCGTCTGGATCAGATGATTCACCAGGGGATACTGTAGTTAGTCAGAGTGAGTATAGGAATGGAAAAAGAAGAAATAAGATACAGCACTTTAATTGCTGTTCTTTATCTCAAAATCATTGAGTTCTTCACCACAGAACAAAAGATAAATAAATAACTGCAGATTTCAGACAACCACAACGTAAAAATAGGAAGATGTGGTATGATTGTCAATGAGACAACTGTCCACCAGAGACCAAATGTCACAGAAGTTAACACCTATAGGTCACTGTACAGCCTTATGAGATCTGATACATATATATATTAAGATTTTCCTGAAATCGCAATAATTTATCTTGCATTTTTGTCCTGTCTTCAAAAAATCACAAAAATAAATGCACACAATAATTTCTTAATTTACAGTAAGTTACTGTTGGGTAAACTAACTTTTGCTTTTTGTTTATCAATAAAATGATTATTGCAAAAATTGTTATATAGGAAATATTGATATTTTGACAGGTTTAGATACCAGTATGATATCAGATATTGACAACCAATTGTCGGAATCATTTAATGAGGTACTCTCTGATGCACGACTCCTAGACACATCGGCCAGTAAATCTAAAGGACAATTAGCTAGTTCTGGTGCCATGGCCAGCCGACGCCCACCTTCCAAGAGAAATAAGGTATGCACAAACTCTGTTTATAGGTCTTCATACATTATTATATTGTAATATGAAATAATTCTATTTTCATGTGCAAGTCTTATTAACCCAAAAAGAAAAGATGAAAAGAAATTTAAAAAAAGATGATATAGGACATATATCAAAAGGAAAAAAGGACAAAAATAACCAAAATTAGGGCATATATAAAAAGGACAGAAACACACTGACAAAAATAACCAAAAGACATTCAGAGGACAGCCTAAGGTCATCAAAAATAAACAGGTTTCTATAGAAAAGGTTAAGCTTTAAAGTTCCCAGAATCTTTACAATTATGAATAGAGTAAACAGAAACTGTCAAAGACCTACTATAGACAACAAATTCTCCAAGTAACAAAAATATTAAGTACAACATAAAACAACCTTTGAAGGGGATCATGATTAGGAGAGCCACATGAATATATGAATGGTTAAATCTCAACCCTCCCCCTTTTAAAGTCAATCAGTAGAGTGACTTAAAAGTCTCTAAAAGAACTGTACAACTCTAAAAAAAAGAGTATAACAGATTAAAGAAACACCAAGTCAGAGCTCGAAAAAGTGGTGGTCCAATGGTTTTGACCACCAAAATTTTGCAAGGACTAACACAATTTAGGTATTTTTCAATAGAAATAATTGCAAGGACCAGCAGATTTTCTTCAACCACCACCAGGGGAAAAAAGATTTTGAGAACTCTTGACAAGTACAAACAATAAATAATAAACAATATATTAAGTTACTGAAAGCAAGCTTAAAATACTTAACCTGTTGATGTGAAATCATGCCATCTTACACTCCAATATTGGTTGACATACTTTATGTACAAATTTCCTTCAGCAACATAATAAAATTTAATTTATGGTATAATTTTCTATTTTATTTTCAGTCATTGGATGAAGAAAAAGGTGGAGAGATAAAGTCAGAGACACAGAGTGGTCTGGAATCATGGATGAAACATGAAGGGTAATCATCAAAATATTGTACTGTGGATTCAGCAAGCTTTTTATTAATGCAGATAATGCAACTGGTTAAGAATCTCAATAATAAGAACTCTCATTCTGATATCTGATACATATATCTGTATGCAGATTTTCCTGGAATCCCAATAATCAATAATAAATGCACACAATAATTTCTGAAGTATTAAAAGGTGGAGGATCATGAGATCGAATCACATTAAAACAAAACTTAAGTAATATAGATCCATAGCCCAAAATGTCTGTCACTGCAAGACGTCTAAAATGATTTTCCAAAAGTTTCTAACCTATATTGGTCAAAGGGAGATAATACTGAAAAAAATTAACGAGCAAAATTGTATACTGTAAATTCAGAAATTATTTGAAGGATATTAATAATGCTACATATGCGAATGGTTGAGTATTGCAATTATAAAAACTAGGATTCTGATATCTGATACACATGTATGTATGCAGATTATCCTGAAATCGCAATAAACAATCGTGCATTTTTGGCCATTCTTCAAAAATCGCAATAATAAATACATGCTATAATTTCAGAATTTACAGTACTTTAAATATACTTGCAACTGTTATGAGTTAATAGTTGATTGTGAATAAGATGTACTACAATTTCTTTTTAGAATGTTCAATATAGTGATGAAAATTATTGTTATTAGTTCATGCTTGGTCTATAATTTGTTTATTGTGTAACTATTTCAGAGACAGTACTGTGAAGAAAAGTGATGCAAAGAAGAGAAAAGCTCAGCTGCAGGAGAGAATGATCACAGAACCTGTGGAGGGACCTCCCTCTATCCCTCCACCACCTCCTCCACCCTTGGGGGCAGACACAGATTCACAATCAAGTTCCAGGTAATTAATAATAATAAGTTTTAAAGGGAAATTCGATAGCTTGGCTTGTATGGAAAGCTGCAGAAATATTTTAGACACTACTAAAATTTTTATTAAAATAAACTGATATAAATGTAAAATATGTCAGTTTGGTTGTAAGATATATATTGACATTTTTATACGACCGCAAAAAATTTGCTTTCGTATATTGCCATCACGTCGGTGTGATTGTCTGAAGACATTTGGTTTCCGGACAATAACTTTAGTTTAAGTGTATGGATCTCTATGAAATTTAATCAAAAGGTTCAATACCACAAAAGGAAGCTTTGGATGGTTTTTGGGGGTGATGGTCCCAACCATTTAGGAATTAGGGGCCAAAAAGGGGCCCAAAACAAGCATTTTTCTAGTTTCAGGACAATAACTTGTGTAGAAGTATTTTGATTGCTCTGAAATTGTACCACAAGGTTCAATACCACAAGTAGAAGGTTGGAATTCATTTTGGGGGTATTTGCCCGGGAATTAGGGGCCAAAACAAGCATTTTTCTAGTTTTCAGACAATAACTTGTGTTTAAGTGTATGGATGTCTCTTAAATTGTACCACATTTTACAAAAAGAAAATTTCTTCAAATATTATTTTTTTTGAGAGGGGGGTAAAGATAACAAAAATTTTTGGGGAGTTAATTTTTTTCCCTCAAGATTTAAGAAATTATCAATTTTACACAAAAAAATTTGAGTCACAATTCATTTTGCTAATTCTTTGTATATAGTCTGAAAACAGATTTACTAAATATTGCGCAACAGCACAGTGTATTGCACAACAGCAAGAAATTTTCAATTGAATATGAATTCAAATCATATAACTAATTTCAAGTTCTTTGACTACATTTATTCTGTGTCAGTATAATAAGTCAAATATTTAATTACAATCCAAATTCAGACCTGTATCAAGCTTGAATATTGTGTCCATTTTTGCCCAAACTGTTCAGGGTTGGACCTCTGCGGTCGTATCCAGCTGCGCTCGGCGAAGCACATTTATTTCCTTTTGTTTTAAAAAATGTATTATTTGCTATTTTATGCATTGCCAGATGTACAGTGTCCATGAATGTTTTGGCTAGCAAGGTGTCTTAATATGAATATACCCCCACACACAAGGACCCAAAAAGGGTACATTTCCATTTTAAACTTGCGTGCAAGAATACAAATTTTAAAGTTGACAACATAGGCTCTGTACAGTTTAGCCATGGACTAGACAAAATTATCCTTACTAAGGTTTATTAATTTAGTGTTAGGTACAGTTGTTCAATCTAATTGTAATCCAACTTAAATATGAATTTGCATTGAAGCTAAATGTAAAAAAAATAAGAAGGAGAATTACATTAGTAAAATTTTAAAAGGAACACCCTATATATCCATTGATTGGGTACATCTCAAGTGACTACTGGGATATAATACTGTGGATTCCTTTATTTTCGTGGATATTTGATTTCATGGTTTTACAAAATTTTGCATACAAACCTATATAAAATTTTTACTTAGTTGAACATTTAAATCCATGATAATTGGTATCCCACGAATAATAATGAATAGTATTTCAAAAATTTAGATTATATATTTGTTTATTTCAGGAGGAACAGCACATCAGAACAATCAGAAACAGCATCAACAGTATCACAGACTTCATATGATCCCTCAAATCCTAAATTTAGAAACATGGAATCAGAAATACCCGACACTGTCTCAATAGATACCACAGGATCCTCAGATGGTGCTAGTAGTAGCTCTAAATCAAAGTCTGGTAAAGGTAAACAAGATATTCGAAATTCAGACCAGAACTTGTATGTCTGAAATTTTTTTAATGTCAATTGAATTTTAAATGAATGTTAAGCTAGGAACAATCTATCAATTCGATTTCAATTGAATATTAACTGAAATGGGCATTTTGATCTATATCTATCTCATTAGCCAGAACAGAATATTATTTTCCAACGTTCTCACCATCAGTAGTTCATACAAAAAAAAAAAACAGAAAAAAAAACCAAAAAACACTTGTTTAAATTGCCATTTTGAAAATAACTCGCCATATGACAAGTGATATTTGTGATGAAACAGTAATCCTGGTATCTATGATGAGTTTATTGTATGTCTTGTAACCCCTTCAAATGTGTGATGCTTTACATGTAGTATTTGCTAATTGCATACTGTATTTATATGTTTTAAACTTGTAATAATTATGTCTAGTTGCATAAAGATACACTTGGTATTAGTTTATCATAGACCTTTCTTAATATTCAGAATATTCTTATAATTACTATCAAATATAGATGCTTTGTATGAAAATTTATTTAGTAGTAAAATAGGGGGGAAAATAGATGTTTTACAAAACATATTCAAAATTGAGGCATATATATTATGCTAAAACTTATTTGAGTGTCAAATAATTTTATTTAATTTTTCTACAGAAAATTTTACTAAGTGTATTTTTCTGTACAGTTTATATATGCATTTATATAAACAGATTGTGAAATATTCTCTTTACAAATATTTAGTCTACTCTTATTATTTCCAACGAAGTCAAATTGAAGAATAACTTGTGTTTGAGATCTACATTAATGTATCCACTAATTGTTACTGCTTTTGTCAATTTTTCATTATTTCATTGGATGACTGCAGACCATTCTAAATTCAACTTGAATCTATTTACAATTAAGGATACTCTATATCTTCATTAAAAATTTGGATTGATTCAAGGTTGTAAATTGGCCTTTTTCCTATAATAATATTAATAAATCTATAGTAGTATCTTTAAAACAGCTGATCATGAAGACATGAAGGCAATTTTGTACTATTTAAGGATCCATTTGTCAGCTTAATCCTGTATATCTATCTGTAGAATAATCCATTCTAATCCATCTTTAGTTTAAGGTACTGTACCTATAGTATTATATGTAAATTTGTTTACGTTTTCTTAAGCAAAGGCAATATGGCCTGTAATAAGGTAGCTTCTTGAATCAGATGTAATAAGAGTAGACCGTAGAATAAGTTGCATGTAGCATTATTTTTGTTCTAATCATTGAATTTAACATTTGTGAAACTAACACGCATACATATTCCAATTGCATGTTTTTAAATAGGAATTGGACTGCCAAAGTTTCTTAAATTTGGCAAAAGCAGCTCAGCAGAAAACAGCGGAGGTGGAATTGTATTGTTATCAAACAAAAACCTAAATGGAGATGGAGGTAGTTCAGGAATTCAACTTATTTCCAAACGTCCATTAGAGGCTACATACTCATCAGACTCATTGGATGGTAAGATTCTGTGGATTCATAATTATTCATGGGATATACTGTAAACCAACTAATTTTCGCGAGTAGAAAAATAATGCGAATATAAATTGTCGCGAATATGTAAAACTTGGATCTTTCCTTATTTAATTACATCAAGTAAGTTAGAAAATCGCGAAATTTAATCGCCGCGAAGTGGACTAGAAAGGGCTAAACGCGAAATAAAGTATCCACAAAAATAAATTGGTTTACATTATAGATTCCACCACTGCAACAAGTGTGTTACCATATTTCTCCGCTCGAGACAGTTAAATTTTAATATTTAAAGTGCAAGGCTTGCTGAGCTTTTTTAAATAATTGAAATTTAACTGTTGAGAGTGGAGAAATATCGTAATACACAAGTTATAGTAGTGGAATCTGTTTCTCTAATGATTTTTATCCTTCCTTTTCAAAGATTTGCAGAAAGTTCTGTTCTTTATAAGTGACGTCATCAGGCATGGTCGCCTTTTCTCATGAGGTCACAATAGGAAATTCAGAAGAAACCAAGAAAAGTTGACATCATAATTAAATTTTGACCAATCATTTGCCAAGAACAGATATTTCACTAGTGAGGAGAACAATTTTTTCACAATCTGTTGGGAAATGTGAAAAATAGTGAAAAAATTAGAGAAACTAATTTGATGGATTTCGTGGGTATAGGTAAACCACACTGTTAAGTGTACTACCAATTTCTAAAAACCACATATCAAGTATCCCCAATTTTTTTTCTGAATCTTACAAATAGGAGCCATGAAAATAAATTAATTCAGAGTAAGGCTTTTCTGAAGCATTTATAAGTTACTCAATACAGTTTTATAGAAAGATAATGACTAGCCCTGACTCTGTCATTATACATTTGTAAGTCTAATCCAGAACAAGGCTTCCAAAACGGTCATATATTCCGGACATTTGTATAATGTCCGGTAAAAGTCCGGCTGGGCAAAGCATGAAACGGACATCTACTTTTTAGTTTTCAAGGCTTTCTTAAGAGACGGTCATTTTAACATAATTCGCGATCTTTTTGACCCAACCTTTTGCCTTTAACAGCCACACATTTCCGGTCATAAAAGTGACATGATCATTAAGTACTATCAAAACAACCCCTACTTTAATACATTCTCATTTTAATCATGGCTAATTAGTTGTCGAACAGCTGAAATTTACCTGTTCAGGTGACAGGTAAACTATTTTGAACCGGACATTGATCGGTCTATTCAAAGTTATTTTCTTACATTTCAGCGGTTTGCATCTAATTAATTTAGTCAAAAAGATCTAAATTATCAGAAATACGTTTACAAATATTATTTGATGAAAAAATTAAAAAGGTGAAAATGAAAAATCGTCATAACCACGTTGTTTGAACCAGAGACATGTATGAACTAGTACACGTGTGCGCATGTGCGCAGGTGTGAAATTTAATTATGCAGCCTAATTTCTTCAAAAAATGCTTAAATTGTCATCGATACCTTTATCTCACGTTTATTTCGAATATTTTCTTGAAGAAATAACGTGGAAAGAGCTACTTGCACTCATTCATGCTTTGCAAACGTACACGGAATTTACGTATCCGTCTCTGGTCGATGTTTTACCATTGTCAAGATAACATCCGGTTTAAAAACGAAAGTAAAGTTTTTGACAACCTTATTTTGCCCAAATAAAGAGTCTAAGGCAGATATAAGTACGCTGATGTTGCACACTTCAAATGATGTACTGCCAATTTAACAGTTTACGTCAGAACTTCGAATTTGAATCAAAGAAAGTTTAATATCGTTTTTTTTTAATGTCAATCATTGGGATGTCCAACTCGGCAACTGATTACCATAATTGCCTTTTGTTTATTAAGTTAAGGGATTAAAATCGTGATAATATATAGAATGTCCGGCTGGCTAAAAATAATTTTGGAAGCCCTGATCCAGAATACAGTGAAACCAGCCAGAAAGGCATCTCTATTAGCAAAAATACAGTAAAACCAGCCAGAAAGGCATCTCTATTAGCAAAAGTACAGTCAAACCAGCCATAAAGGCATCTCTATTAGCAAAAATACAGTCAAATCAGCCATAAAGGCATCTCTATTAGCAAAAATACAGTCAAACCAGCCATAAAGGCATCTCTCATAAAGCCTCTCTATTAGCAAAAATACAGTCAAACCAGCCATTAAGGCATCTCTAATAGTAAAAATACAGTCAAACCAGCCTTAAAGGCATCTCTAATAGTAAAAATACAGTCAAACCAGCCATAAAGGCATCTATCTCTATTAGCAAAAAAACAGTGAAACCGGCCATAAAGGCATCTATGTCTATTAGCAAAAAACAGTCAAACCAGCCATAAAGGCATCTATCTCTATTAGCAAAAAAACAGTCAAACCAGCCATAAAGGCATCTATCTCTATTAGCAAAAAAAGCCTGTCATGTTAGGTCATCCTCTTCTTAGTCCCAGTGTAGTAATACTCATGTATTTTAAAACCTCAAGTTAAAGGTCACCTCTCTCATAAGGTTAGTTTTCTCTGGTTCCAAGGGTGATCTTTATATACAGGTTTTACTATATAACATATTTTCAGCAGTTTGTATATAATTATCATAAACTGTATAATGTAAGTGTTTATATTAAAAGAGCAGCAAGAAAAATATGGTGATTTTAAAAAAGGAAGTCGCTTGCAATTTACCTAAATTAAATTTGGAAGAAAGGAATGCATCTTCACACTTCTTCTCCATTTCTAAACACCCAAATTTTTTTTAAGCTCCATGTATAGTAAGACAAAAAGATGGATTTGCCTCCATGTCAGAAATGTTTTCTGCCACCTCTGAAAAAACTGATAAAACTTTAATGATACAAATAGTTGTGAATTATTGACATTTCCAGCCCTGTGATCTGTCATTTAAATTAGATATGAATGAAATGTCAGAACATCTTCAAACATAGAATCTAGAAAGATATGTATCTCTTTAGAAATAGAAAATTGTAAGCATTTTGAAGATTTTTATTGTTATGTCAAATATTTACTACTAATTATCAGCATGTGTTGTGTTGTAAAATATATATGTATGTTGTATGCAACTTAATAGAATGTTGTTCGTGTTATATGTAATAAAGGTTTAATTTCGCAAAGTGTGTCCCTAGGAAATGTTTATTTAGTTGTTAGAGATCTTGCAATACTTTTCATGAATTTTGCATGGCTACTCCTATTGCAAAACCCTGTGTATTAAAACTTGATAGAGGGGTTTTGAAATAGCTTTTCAAACTTTTTTTCTCTTCAGGTTTAGATGACAATGAAGATATATCCTCAGCGTACATGGTACAAGAAATTGACGATGAGGATGGAAAAAAGACAATATTTTCTTTGAATATCTCAGGAACCCCTGCCGCAGAGGTATTTATTTTTGTTAAATATGTTATGAACGCCTTTAAGTAAGGGCTATTCCATTAAAATGATATGGGAGGGTAGGAAAGGAAGTTTAATTATTGAACATTTTTAATTTTTGGGCTTTGGGTTATTTTTATGCCCCCGCAACAAGGCGATGGGGGCAATAAGTGTTATCTTGATTGTCCGTCCTTCCTTCTGTCTGTCCGTATTATTTTCGTTTGAAAAGCAAGCTTGAGCGGGGGGCATTCTTGTCCTCTGACACATTCTTCTTTTATTTTGTTGTATGTCCATTTGATGTGTACAAATTATTCAAAGAAAGTATGTTGATTGTTGTGTGATTTTTGTCGAGCCTTTGACTTTTGTCGAAAAAGCGAGACATAGCGATCCTACATTCCGGCAGCGGCGGCGTCCACAAATATTCACTCTGTGGTTAAAGTTTTTGAAATTTTAATAACTTTCTTAAACTAACCTGGATTTCTACCAAACGTGGACAGAAGCTTGTTTATGATCATAAGATAGTATCCAGTAGTAAATTTATAAAAAAAAAATTCTGGTTTTTCCGTATTTTACTTATAAATGGACTTAGTTTTTCTGCCAGGAAACATTACATTCACTCTGTGGTTAAAGTTTTTGAAATTTTAATAACTTTCTTAAACTATCCTGGATTTCTACCAAACTTGGACAGAAGTTTGTTTATGATCATAAGATATAGTATCCAGAAAATTTTGAAAAAAAAAAATTCTGGTTTTCCGAATTTTACTTATAAATGGACTTAGTTTTTCTGCCAGGAAACGTTATATTCACTCTGTGGTTAAAGTTTTTGAAAATTTAATAACTTTCTTAAACTATCCTGGATTTCTACCAAACTTGGACAGAAGCTTTTTTATGATCATAAGATAGTATCCAGATGTAAATTTAGTAGAAAGAATTAATTTTTTTTCTGTATTTTACTTATAAATGGACTTAGTTTTTCTGCCAGGAAACATTACATTCACTCTGCGGTTAAAGTGTTTAAAATTTTAATAACTTAAACTATCCTGGATTTGTACCAAACTTGGACAAAAGCTTGTTTATGATCAAAAGCTAGTATCTAGAAAGAAATTTTGTTAACATTTTGTACCTGTTTTTTTGTATTTTACTTATAAATGGACTCAGTTTTTCTTCCAGTTAACATTACATACAGCCTGCAGTTAAAGTTTTCAAAACATTTATTAGATTCATAAACTATCCTGGATTTTTACCAAACTTGGACAGAAGCTTCTTACAATCAAAAGATAGTATCGAGAGGAATATTTTTATTAATTTTTTTCCTCATTTTTGTTGAGCCTGCGATTAACAGCAAAAGTAGGCGAGACACCAGGTTCCGCGGAACCCTTACGAATTTTTTAAGTCCCTTCTTACTTTACAACATCCATAATAATGGAATAGTCCTAAAAGGTGAAGGTAATTTTTGATGATTATTTGATGAAGTTAATTCAAGGAATATGAAAAACTGTATGATACCATTAAAGATTCAAAGTTTTTAATGGTTCTGGAGAAAGGTGTGAACGTTAGTTGTGACATGTTAATGAAAATTTATAGTGACGTCATTTAAGTGAAATAGATAGGTTTGACAAGTTTTAAGAAGAAAAAATCAGTAAATTTAATAGAAACCTTTTTGCTAAATTAAAATAGAGCACAAGTGACAGACAAATTTTCGTGAGCAATTTATTTATATGAAGTTAGATAATCATTTAAAAATAAATCACATAAAAGTCCGCTAGAAAGGTTCAAACCGAAAAAAAGGATCTGAAAGAAAGTTTGTTTACTGAGTGTTTGATCTAACAATTGTTTTCAGGATAAATCTACAACCCCAAGTCGGCGGAATATCAATCAAATAGAATCATGTCCAATCTCAGAGTGGAGAATGGAACATGTCAGACACTGGCTGGTGGCCCTGGAACAGGAGAAATATATTCCTCTGTTTTCTGAGAAAAATATAACTGGACCTCAACTTGTATTATTAGATGGGACCAAGCTAAAGGTAACATTTTAAGTAGATCTATAGACTATGATTTGACATTTAGGTCTTTTGATATGAATAATTGATATTTATAAGAGAGTCTTTCTGGTGATAGTTATGGCTTCCTTTTCTTGAAATGCTCTGTGAATCTTTTGATATGTAGAGTCTCTCTTGGGAAAATTGTAAACAATATGTTCTACACAAATTCAGCAACTGGGGATATTTTTGGTTAGTAGGGATTGGAGGGGGGGGGGGGGGGGGGGGGGGGGGGTTGACTGGTAATTGGTATGCAAATAAAACAAATGTGGTGTATTTATAATACATACCAATTTATAAACTTTCATTGAGATTTGTAATGGATAGTAATTGCAGACATGTACTGTGAGTAAAGAAGAAAATAACACTTTATATAATTGTGAGCGTCCAAGGCACTTTTCTGGATTTATTTTCATCAGAAACTCTAAACCCAAAAATTTAGAAGCCAAAAATGTATAAGACCTGTAAAAAATGAGGAGCTCCATGACCAAAAGGGACTTAAAAAATGGCTAAAAGATGTGCTTCTATGAATAAAAAAAAGATGTTTTTGATCCCATTATTTTAAACTTGTCACTTCACATTTATTTCAGACTATGGGCATCACAGTGAGTAAAGACAGAGAATTGTTTAAGAAGAAAATCAAAGAACTTAAAATGGCATTAGATAGAGAAAAGAAACAACAAGAGAAAGAAAGAAAGATAAAAGAAAAAGAACAAAAGAAACAAAGGAAGAAATAATGATAATTATACATTAGTAAAAGAACAATTGTTTTGTATTTTAAAAATAACATAGATTATATATTTGATTTAAAGAACAAATAATAGGATTGGCTTTTACAGAATTGATTTCTATGTGAAAATCAAACTGGTTTAATGATAATTAATAGTATAACAGAGATCTTAACCAACATTTTGTAAATAAAGGTCATAATTCGCTGGAAGTCGGTCTTCACTGTGATGTAACATTATTTATGATTGGCTGGCCATCAAGCATTTTATTCAGATGTATTACATCTCTTAATTGGTTCATTTGAAGTACTTTGTGACTACTGCTATTGACTAGAAATTTGAATAAGGAAATTTTATATTCAAAATTACATAATGAAGTACTTATTTATGCAAAGATTTTATATGTTGTATAAATTATTTAGCTTTGATTCCAAGAATCTAAATCTTGAATTTTCAATTAACAAAATAAATTTAAAATTGCATTAGTTTTCATTATACAATGGAGCAATAAGTTATATTTATCAAACTGTGATAGTTGTATTTATAGAAAGAAAAAATGTTGACTATTAATTAATTATAGCATAGAACAGAAAAAATAAATAGATTTTTGGATTCTTGCTCATATTGACTACTGCCACCAAGGTAATGTAAATGAAGAAATTGGTGATTTAACAGATTGAAAATTTTTCTTTTAAAACAGAAAAAATACAATTTAAAATGCCAATTGACAGAACTTCAAAAATCGGAGAGAATCTAGAATTATTTTTTTTTTCTCTTTTAACATTCTCATTTTTATCTTGTATTTAAACAATACAATACATGTCCATGTTCTGAACACTTATTAGATAGTGCTGAAAAGTTAATTGCCATCTAGGCCAATGTTCTTTGTTTCAGAGGTTGTAAAAGGGTATACTATCAGAAGGACTGGTCATTGAAAATTGTTCTATTAAAGTAAATAATGGTAATCTTGAAGTGAAAGAGATTTAAGATAAATTAAAGACATTATGTATATTCATTTAAAAATCATATATTTGTATATTTTGGTCAGTTTTGTTGTTAATTGTGGCTTTTTAGACTGGGACCAATTTCACCATCATTATTAGGAATGATAAAAGACCTTTTTAAAATGAAAGAGCATTTCTTATTGGATAGAATAGAATGTACAATCATTTTTCATTGGATAATGTCGACATTTTTGACCACATTTTTAATTGTAAATCATTACAACTGGTGTATTCAAGTGCTGATTAATGTTATAGAACTATATTATGTGAATTTTATTTGTGTTCAAAAATTTACTGACCATGGAAAGAAAAATACACATTATAATATATATTTTTTTCCTAACTCTTGATTGTATGGAAACTTAACAAGCAAGAAAGTTCTACCTATATATTTAACTTTAAAAAAGTCTAAAATTTCTGGGGACTCAGAGATATATCCTTTAAGGTGGTACAAACACCTTGACTAAAACTAATTTGGCACATTTAATTTTAATAAAATTTGGACAAAATATTTACTTTGACCCTTTGACAAAAATATAAAAATTTCAAAAAACTTGAACCACACACTTTATCAGAAAAATTTCATTGGATTTTGCAGTTTGACAAACACTAGTTTTGGTCATTGAGAAGCTTAATATTTCCTTAACAAAAGACCATGATTAAAACGTTCAGCTGTTTTTAACAGAGTTATCTCCCTGTAGTGTTATGTACCACCTTAAATACAATCATGATTTTTTTCTTTCCATGGACAGAATAATTCTTTATCTGTAGTTTTTTCATTGAAAGCATTGGCAGAACTTTCCTGCAGGATTCGTGACATTATTTTTAAAATAGGTTGTTATTTTCTGATGTACTTACAAGTAAACCAGACAGCATTCAATGTGGTTTTGGTCACAAATAAAAGATCACACTTGATATCTTTTCAGTACATGTATTAGAAAGTCATGATTTGATCATTTAGAATCCTCGTAACAATTGGTAATCTCCTGTTTTACATTAAAATCTGATATTTTTAACCAATTGGAGGAATATCCATGGTTTAGGATATCAGAGGCAGATTTAGGGAGGGGCCAGGGGGCCGTGCCCACCCTTATGGAGCTTTATATATGATAAATACATAGACTTTCTACAAGTACCACTCTAAACGTTGGCTTGCCAAGGATGGCCCCCCTTTTTCAAAATCCTGGATATCCTTAACCAATATACACATTTTTTGGTGTATTCTGTTTGAATATTATTCAGATCATTGTAGATTCTGAAACAAGAAATAACAATGATATATGTTACAAACTTGTAAAAAAAAGAAAACAGTAAAATGTTTTGAAAATTATTTTTTTATTTATTAATTTTTTTTGGTGATCTTTTATTTGTGACCTTTATGATATGTAAAAGGTTGTTGGTATAATTTTATAATTTTTTTGTATATATCAAGTGTATACTTTTTTCAAGTGCTAAACAAGTTGACACAAAAATTACTGGTGCCTAGTGTAAAAACTTGCCATTTGAGGACAATGACTTGACTATGGTCTCCTTAAAAAGGTTTAAAATGAAAGATATTGAATGGTCTCAGACATGGCATTAGCATTTTTCTAGTTATAAGGCTATTTAAGGAAATTTGTGAATTATTTTTTAAGAGACTGTTCAATAAATCCATTTTGATTGGCTGTTTTTCTTTTTTTTTTTTTTTATAAGAAAAACGTTAACAACAGAGATATAGATGGTAAAAATATTTTACATAATTTGTCAACTGAACAAACTGTTTCGACAATTTTCATGATAATGTTGAAAAACAAATGTCTCATTTTTAAAGCTTTCATGCAAATGTTGGTGCTTAATATAGAATAGGAGATATTTTGATATAGAGAGGTCACACATTTATATATGTATATTATTGCACGTGTTGTAACGATGTATAAATTTTGTTAATAAGTATTTGTTTACATGTATATATTACTCAAACATTGTATCACATTCATAGTCATAGTCATAACCATCATTTTTTCACAGATATATTTTTGTCTTTCATTTTCTTATAACATTGTTTTGTTACATGGATTTTTTCCCATTAAACAAAAAATGTTGTTAGTTCTTTCAAGTCATTTTGTTTTAGATTTTTTAGTTCGCTAACAAATTAAGTTTGTCTTGAAAAAGGAAAGTTGTTTACTAAAAGAAAAGATCAAAGTAATTTTTCTGAAAATTATTGCCTTTTGGTTGTCTCTCATTCAGTTTCTTGTTTAAAGAGGGAACAGAGATCTAACAAAAATTGAGATTTTTTGCGATATTTTTATGATTTTTAATTGAAAAGTTGACAGATTAAGTTTTGCAAAAATAAAATCTCACATTTTAATTTTGAAAACATTATTAATATGCAGCATTTCCTGAAAATTGCAATAATTAATCTGACATTTTTATGAATTGCTCAACAATCGCATTAATAGATGCACACAAAAATTTCTTAATATACAATTCTGTCATATTTTGAAAGGTTATATTTGCAATATTATGTACCCATCATTGTATAAGTAATCACATCTCTGATATCTCCCAATGTCCTGAATATCCATGAAATATTTTCCGCTGGACGTTAGGCAGTCAATAATCAATCAGGTATCTTCCATTCAAATGCATACATTCTTTATTCAAATCAGTTAGGATATTTTTTTAAGAACAATTCGCTATTCTGTTTTACCATAGAAACAATTTTCTATCAAAATGGAACAATTTACTCTAATTCTGTGTTACCATAGAAACATTTTACTATCAACAGACATTACTTTTTTATACTATATAAATATGATAATTGCAGAATAATTATCAAAAGTGTATGTGATTAAACTTTTGGATAGTGCCTCATTTTGAAATTTTAATATGTTTACAGGTAGATTTTGTATTGGAAAATAGATCAATATATATATACATTATAGGAAGAAGTTCCTTTCAGGACCATTAGACGTTTTTTTCGTTGTTTTATCTATCACAATTCACCAGCAACAGAATAAGAGTTTATCGACGAATTTAATATAGTTTACCTAAATTTGTCAGTTATTAAAAAGAATTATATTTAAGCAAAACTAGTATGCTGATTTTTTTTTTTTATGTGATGTCCGATACAAAACTTTGATAACACACATCTTGTTTTACAGATAAACGTTAAAATTTCCAGAATGTAAAATAAATTTTCCAACTTGTTTTCATTTTAAAAGCTTTTAATTTATTTTTGAAAAAGTAATCCTTTACCCAAATATGATGAAAAAATCTGCACTTTCGTTTGTTTTCAATTAATATTTCAAAAAAACAAATGCTATGGTTTTTTTTTTTTGCTTCTTTTTTTAAACCATAGCTTTTTGATATTAGTTCTTATTATCTGAATACATTCTGATTCTTAAAAATTAATTTAATTATTGTTTTAATAGATAATCTAGTAACATTCTACAACTGTAACTTTATATTGTTTAGAAGTGATATTTCACAAGACTTTTAACTTCTGCTTATAAAAAATCATATATTTTTCCTTTGTTGTAAACTTGTATTTTAGTTCCTGGTTTATTTCTACTTTCGTTATCTAATGGTCCATGAACAAGGAACTTCTCTTTTTAGCAAGTAGCGAAAAGGAAATGTAGATTTCCTAAATTCACTGTTTTCAGTCTGTGCATTTCTTAACTGAGAATAGTTGAACGTATTATTTTTTTATTTTTTAGATTTTGTTTGAAATAAGAAAACAAATACTTATTATTTCTTTTGCAAACCTATATCTGTCTCAGTGTATGAATACGATATTTATCTTAAAATCTTGTATAAAGAATGTTAAAAACTCATTGATGGAGGCTTTGCACTATGACCAATTCAAGCATTATTTGTTAGACTAATGGGAAGATTTTGTTCATGGAAATTTATTTGGACCTCTTTGAGAGAGGTATGATCACTAGAAAAGATTCAAATGAAAAAACCTCCCAATAATTAGGGATGGTAAATGGGTATATTTTTCTTGAAATTCATATTTAGCTGTTCATATCAGACAACAGTTGCTAAAATGGCCAGTGTTCATATCTCATATCATCCAAACTTTTATAACAATAACCTCTATACTGGTTTCCTGATCTTTGTTAGGTTACCAGTTCTCTCCTGTAAAGCACCAGAGGCAAATAAATTAAAAATATTTCTCAATAATTTGTATACAAGAGTTGAAGATAGATGTGATTTGATATAAAAACAAACTATTGTTGTAATTATATTTGTTAACTTTGTAATTTATTTTTTCTTCATAAAGCTGCTTTGATAAGTATATAATTTTGATGATAATCTTGCTTAATGATTTATTTATTATTTTTATATCTGCATATCATTTATAATTTTTGATTTACTTCAATTGAAATGGAGCTGGACCTCTTGACAAAATTAAACATGAATATTCATAAACATATAAAATCTCACATATATGATTTCCTAATTATAATTTCACCTTAAAAATAGTGTATACCAATTATCAATTATTTTCTCAATCTTTATTTGTTTTATCAAAAATTTAGAATTATCAAATCAAGAAGTCTATTTAAATGTTTGGTTCAGAGGCAAAATATAAAAAATAAAAGTATACATCATTAGCCGAATTAATACCAAGATTAACATTGTGTATAGTGAGGCCTATATTGTAGATTTCTATTTTTACCTCATCTTTGTAATCCTGTTTAAAAAAAATTCAAGTGCTGTCCCTCCTTACATTCAGACTGTGTCTAGTATGGGTGTAATACTTGCCAATGGCAACCCTTTTGACATTTTGTGTATTTTTTTTTTCATCTTAAGTTCAGAATTCAGATGTTTGAGAAAGTTGTGAGAAATATGGATGTTTTTTCGTGTTGTTGAACCTGTCTTGCATCAAACATTTCATTTGGTAATAGGTAAAGTTCTATAAAATGGCAAATATATTACATCATTAACATATCAAAAATATTGATCTATTATTCCGGTACTATAACTACAAGAACAAAAATAACAGTGTATTCATCTGATGCCTAAAGTTATAGTAGTATGTGGGTTCTTTGGTCGTAGCACTAGATCACTAAAAATGAAACTTTTATATCTAATGAACTGGGTCTGTATTAATAGATTAACTGGGATCTTGCTTCTATAAGGACTAGCAACTCATTACACTAAAAATCTTACGAGAAAAAAGACTTAAGGCATAAACATTTTGTAAAACTAACAATTATTTTTTTTTTTTTATTTTTTGAGGAAAGATTCCCTGATCACTTAAAAGAAACTTTTATATCTATGATCTATGATGTGTGATCTTGATAATATAAATATACATCATAAATTTCTGAGTGCGAGCCAAGAAATTTTTGAGAAGAGGGGTGTGGTCTCTCAAGACAGGTTTTTGCTGTATGTAAGATTATAAATTATTATAAAAGTGCATTTATATGTAAACAGTAAGAACATATGTTGTGTTTTATTTATATGTTGTAGATTTTAAAGGTTGTGTCCATATATATATATATATATATATATGCTTTTACATGTATTTCATGTATATGTTGTACTTAAAGGGGGGAGTGTAATAGAAAGTGGGATTTTCTTACAAATTCTTGAAGTTATTTATAGATTCTCAACAACCCTTGCTTAAAACGAGGACGTTACCATGAATAAAAATCATGTGCACTGGCTATGCAAGACAAATGAATTATAAAGCTGATACAATGGATTCATAAACTGTCAATGGGTTCACTTTTCACAAGTTTTTCAACTGAAGTTTATTAAAAATGTATTTTTTTTTCCATTTTTTAAATGGCACAAGAAGTGTTTGTTGAATATGTTGGTCATCTGCTATACTCTAAACTTAAAGTTTGAAAGCAATAAATTACAAACATTTGAGAACTTGAAATATAACGGGGACCAAAATAGAATAGCTTTAAGGGTCAAGAGTTAACTTTACTTGAGGAAGGTGCAATATTATTTCTAATGATTTTTAGGGTTTACAAAAGCAAAATATAGTCTATGAAATATGGGGCAGTATGGGGTGTGAATTCGTGAGCTCAGCCTATCAGTTTTTTTAGTTTTTAAGATGAGGACAACAAACAATGCACAGCATTTTACAAGGCATGTAAAGAGTGCATAGGTATGAGAATCTATAATAAGCTTTTATATAACTATCAGGACATTATGTTTTTGTATGGATGAACCGTTGTTTACACTAGTGAAGGTTGTAGACATAATTTTTTATGACAAAAACAAACTGGTGCAAACTTGACATATTTTTGTGTAAGTTTCCATTTTTTATAACTTCTGAATTCATATTTTTCTATGTTCTGAGATACTACATATTTTGTTGAGAAAAGGGTGGTAATTCTATAATCCTTAATGATACTGGTACCCTAACGTAACAGAAGGCTGATATTTTTTTCTTTGATACTAACTTTCATTGTTCAGGAATTTTTATGTTTTTATAATTTCTCTCTCTCTAGATGATTGAATATTTTAATTGCTTTGACTACTGAAATTCATTATTTCCCCTCTGTCAGAAAACAAAGTCCAAGAAGATTGAAATATCCCACACATAAGACCAATCCACAATAACATGATCTGAATTGGAATTTTGTACTTTTGTAAAGTTTTTTGAGATTGCAGTCTTGTGTGTTTCCATCCCACATTCTTTTTACCTCATATTGATTGATATTTACGTAGAAAGTTCGCCTTTTGGTTTTGGAAATCTGGAAAGAAAGATTAAAGCATGCTTCATTTTAAAATAAGTTTATCGTAAACATCAGCATGGTAGCAATATGACACAAAAGAAATCTTTCATGGACAAGATTCTCAAGCTCTTTTTATGAATGAGTTACGGTGGTTGACCAAAGGTCAGTCAACATTATTGAGGTCATTGAACAATTAACTAGAACATACATAAAACCTAAGCATTGTGACGTCAGAAAATGTATGGACAATGCACATTTGTGAAAGTCATCTATTTTATCACCATTTTTAACCAAACTAGGTAGAATCAAAAGAAAGCATTACATGATATTAATTATAGCAAACACCATTAAAAGTCGGCCTCTACCATGTACACTATTGTAAGGCTTCAGTACACAAATCTGTTAGCCTAGGAGGGGAATTATGAAGGTTAAATTTCAATGGATGTGACAGATTTAACAGTCTTATTATGTAAACTTGTTGATTTTTACAAAGTTTTATTTTATATTATCCCTTTTTCATTTGAATCCAGTTATATTTAGTTTGTACATTGACATATCACCATGGTCTATATAAAACATAACATTTCACATAAAATAAAGTCAGTATTTATAACATTATTGCCTTATTATTATATTTATTGTTTTATGAGTCATTGTGTATACAGCTGTGACTTTGTATTCCTATTGCATTTGATTGGACTATATATTTTGACCCAAAGCAGAGAAGGGCTATGAAGGCCTCAATTTGAAATTATACTCTATCCTAGCTTTAAAGTAATAATTACATTCAGAAATGTACTTGGACCTCAATGGCCGAATGGAGGGTGAAGGTTGGCGCCTGTTAAAACGTTTTAACCCGTTGCATTTGTTTGCACCTGTCCTAAGTCAGGAACCTGTTTCAGTGGTTGTCGTTTGTTGATGTGGTTCATTAGTGTTTCTCTTTTCTCGTTTTTTATATAGATTAAACCGTTGGTTTTCCTGTTTGAATGGTTTTACATCAGTCATTTTGGGGGCCCGTTATAGCTTGCTGTTCATTGTGAGTTAAGGCTCCGTGTTGAAGTCCGTACTTTGACCTATAATGGTTTACTTTTTTTAAACACTGTGACTTGGATGGAGAGTTGTCTCATTAGCACTCATACCACATCTTCTTTTATAAATGTAGTTCATTTACGGTGATCACTAGCATGTAAACCATGATGTTCCAACCCAGCTTTTTGCAAAATGCATTCGACTCTGACATTAATCAACTCGAACTGCCTGCCCAAGATCAGTGGTTTGCTCCTGCTTTTCTGCCCAATAAAAACTGGCAGTCATGATATAGCTGAAAGTGGCATTAAACAACAACAACAATCAATCAAAGTCATTCTATTTATGATATACTACTGATATGCTATATGCTGTTTCAACGAGAATCTCAGGATTTAAATATTGATAGAGAAGAATCTGGACTTTGTGCTCTTGATATTCTATTGCATCCTTTCATTTAAGAAAATGAGGCTCTGTCTTTTTGTCATCCATCAGTGACTTGGGTGTATTTTATCCAATGTTCAAATAGATGTAAGAAGATGTGGTATGAGTGCCAATGAGACTCCATCCAAGTCACAATTTGTAAAAAGTTAGCCATTATAGATCAAAGTACGGACTTCAACATGGAGCCTTGGCTCACACAGAACAGCAAGTTCTAGAGGGCCCCAAAACGACTAGTGTAAAACAATTCAAACAGGAAAACCAACGGTCTAATCTATATAAAAAACGAGAAACGAGAAACACCTTTGAACCACATCAACAAACGACAACCACTGAACAACAGGTTCCTGACTAAGGCCAGGTGCAAACAAATGAAACTGATTTAAATGTTTTAACAGGCGCCAACCTTCACCTTAACCTGATCATTGATATAAGTGTTGTATAAGCAACCAATCATTTCAGTTTCATGTACCTCTAAGTCATGCTCCAATGACTTGAGAAATTTATTGTCTCTCCTGCGATGAAAGTTGCAGAATGCAAGACATAGGGAATACAGTCCAGCAGCGACGACTGTTTGTATAAAGCTTTAAACTTCAAAAGCTTGACCTAGATGCTTCATACCTTGTATGCGGATGCCTTTATGTTACGAAGTTCTGTTTGTCTTTTGTCCATTTTCCTTGACCTCATTTCCATGGGTCAGTGACTGTTTGAAAAAGGATGTTTTGTCATTTTAAATACTCACTTATTATGAGTAATAGAATAACTATATCTGGTACATGGGATCCTTGCAAGGTCTGCATATCCATCAAACAGGGTTCACCTGACTTCTACCTTATTTCATGGATGAGTGATCAAGGTTAAGGTTTTGTGGTCACGTCAAGTCTGTATCTCGGATACTATAAGCAATAGGTCAGCTATATTTGGTATGTGGAATGAATTTAAGGTGTGTATATCAGACTGGCAGGCTTAATTTGACCTTCATTTGTCAATGTTAAGTTTTTTGTTGTTTGGTCTGTTTCTCAGATACTATAAGCAATGTACCAGCTGTATTTGATTTAAGGAATGATTGTAAGGTGTACATGGCTGTATAGCAGATTTCATCTGACTTCGACCTCAATTTCATGGTTCATTGGTCAATGTTAAGTTTTCATGATTATTTCCGTTTCTCAGATACTATAAGCAATAGGTCAACTATATTCGGTGTAAGGAATATTGCATGGTATTCGTGTTGTCTGGTAGGGTTCATCTGACCTTGACCTTATTTTAATAGTTTATTGATCAATGTTCAGTTTTCGTAATTAGGTGTGTTTCTCATATACAATAAGCAATAGTCTAACTATATTCGATGTATGGTCTGCAATTCAGTAATGATAAGTCAATCAGGTGAGACAATGCAGCGTGTGCACTCTTGTTTTACTCTTACGATGTGGAGAAGATCAAAGAAAACAATGGTCAAAAGAATAAAAGACGAGCGGATAAACAAGTCCACAAAACAGTACATGGACTGAGCAACATGAAACTGATTAAAACCGGCGGTGAATCTAGGTGCTCTGGAATGGTCAGCAGTTACTGCGCCACTGGTGATAGTCATCATATTATTCCTGTTAAAATTCGTTGATAGAACAAATCCAGTGATAATGCGTCATCCAACAGCAAATTGGTAAATGCCTCTTGTCTACAAAAGTAAGACATTTCCAAATTTACAAGCCATTAGCACATGTTAAGCTTCTAATCCTTATTCATGACGAAATATGAAAGTGAAATTAAAATGTATTTCTGGACCGGTAAGGAGACGACCATTTGATATTCCGGGGTGGGGGTGGGTGGGGGGGGGGGGGGGGGGGGGGGCATGAGGATTTTGAAAATATATAACTCAGCCTTGATAATAACAAAAATGAATGGTATGTTCTGTGGTAGTTTGAAAATAAATAACCTGCCTTACAATGTATTGAAAATAACTTGGCAGGTCTTTTAATCCATTTTATAAATGCTATTCTGAAGAATGAGATGGCACCAGATTCTTCCAAAATTTGTCTTTTTTCATATTTTTTTCGGGAAAAACTTCCCAAATCTTTTAATGATATAAATATTAATGTATTTGAAATGTTTGAAAATGGGTTTCATTTCACTTGAGGTATATTGTCTCGTGAACATTTACCTCACTTTTATTTAACAGGGCCGTAACTACATTGAGGCAAATGCCTCATGTTGGAAATTTCAAAACAAAAGCTTGTCTTCATATCAAATTGTTTTCACGGCAAGTGTCTTGCAATAAGCAAGTTCTGTTCACCCTCTGACGTAGCCCCTGTTTTTTGAGATCCATGTTTCTCATTTATTTTTATTTTTCAGTGTTGATTGTCTATAATGTTTGTCGTTTTGTGTTTTATCTGTTCCTGGGTTTGTCTTTTGTTCATTGATTGCCCTTCTTTATGACTATTCTCTTAGTGTTGCATTCTATTTGTAATTTAGTAATTATGTTTTAAACTTGAGTTTTATTATATTTAAGGATCTTTTGTCTATTACAAACTACTTTAAATTGTATCCCAGTTAGGAACTACATCAAGTTGTAATTGAAATGTGTTATAAAAACTTACTTGACATAGTTATATCAATGATAATCAGCCCCTCTTAACTTAATTTGAAAAAAAACATAATTGACAGGTATAAAAGGTTTTTCTGCAAACTGAAACATTTTTTGCTTTTTCCTACATATTGGTCTTTTGGTGTTGTCCCTAAAAACTAAACGTCTTACACTGAATCTATATATTTTGCTTTGAAACCAGAAAATTGTCAAAAAAATAAAACAGAACTTGCGTTTCAGATTAAGAAAGGGTCTGGGAAATGCGCATAATGCATGATTTTGCGCCATTTTTTCTATAGCTTCTTGGGGCCTTCAGCGAACCCCAGACTCTTCGCTGATTTTTTTTTCGCCTCGCTCCGCTTGGCGAAAATGTTTTACAACTTTTAAAAGAGGCTAGTTACAGCCCAGCTTTAATACCTTGTACGTATGCAATATATGCAGTTTGCAATTCAGAAGATTAGCTTCCAGAGGATGATGATTAATTCTGATTGACTTAATTGACCATGTTATTTATTTAAGAATTTAAAAATTGTATGTTTTCAAATATTATAAATATAATTGTGAAAATAGATAATCTGTCCCTTGTTTTAATGAAAATGAAAAATCATGCTTCAACAGTGCAGAAAATAAATAATCTGTCCTTTTCGTCCGCAGAAATAAATAACCCATACAAAACAAATCCTCCTGCCCCCCTCCAGAATATCAAATGGTCGTCCCCTAAGATGGACAATATCTTTACTGATAGAATACTATAGTCATTTGAAAAATAAAATGTGGACCGGTAAGATAGACAAGATCTTTACTGATAGAACACTATAGTCATTGGAAAAATAAAATATGGACCGGTAAGATAGATAAGAGTCTTCACTGATAGAACACTATAGTCGTTGGAAAAAGGGGCCTCGGTGGCCGAGGGTCTAAGTAGTCGAACTACTATATCACTAGCCTGTCAACACTGAGTTTGTGCATTCGACTCCAATCTAAATTGACCAGGATTGTCAGTTTTTCTACCGAAGGTCGGTGGTTCTCTCCGGGCACTCTGGCTTCCTCCACCAATAAACACTGACCGCCACGAAATAGCACAGCAGTGCTGAAAGTGGCGTTAAACACCAATCTAACCCTTGTTCATGACTAAATATGAAACTGAAAAGAAAATTTATTTCTGGTAAGATAGACAAGATATTTTCTGATAGAACACTATAGTCATTGAAAAAAATAAAATACAACAGGAACAACACATAAAACTTAAATAAAAGCAATATAAATCCCTTAACAAAGCAGTGGGTACTTGAAAACTTAGGTGCTTTGGAAGGGTTAACAGTTCTTGGTCCACTAGTGGTTCATGCTTCTGAAGGGTTAAGAGTTCCTGGGCCACTAGTGGTCCATGTAGTGTTGTTTATGGTTAGTAAAAATCCGCATTTGTTTATCACAAAACAATATCTATATATAAATATCTTGTGATTATATTTTCGTCTTTTGTGAGCTTTTAATTGACCAATTTATGTAAATAAGAATAACATATTGTTTATACTTAGTATATGAAAACTCACGCTTCTTCTATTTTCAA